TTCTTTTTAGTTTCAGTTTTGAGGGAGTTTCTAGATGAAGATGGATGTATAAAGCAGTGCTCCCAAGAAAGGGAGAAGATAGTAAAAAATAGATTATCTTGGAGTAAGGAGTCTAATTGCAGTACCAGACCAGAAGTGTTTGGATAAAATTCTGAAGAACTTGTTTAAAGCTGAGACAGTTTAAAACTCTGCTGTGTGACAGCCCCAGGAAAAGGTTACTGATTTTCCAGACTGGGAGTTGAAGTCAGAATTTACATATTCAGACGTGACAAAAAAAATATCATTTTATGGTGTACTGTACAAAGGTGTTTTTGGGCACCGTAAAAGATTTTTTTTTATAAAGTATTAACAAGAATAAATATTACCTTACTTTTAAAAATCTTTCATGTTTATATTATAAGTAACTAGTCTAGTTTATTCTATTTTATCTTAATTTATTTATTTTAATAATTTTCTGTTTATTTTAAAATTAAAATCAGCAACATTACATTCTTATGCTTCAGTGAGAAACTATCTTTCAAAAACAAAACAAAACACAATGCTATCCTTAGAAATACTGTATGGGGTCAGTTAGCTCAGTTGGCAGGATGATTAGTTTGCAATGCAGAATGAGGTCAACAGTACGGGTTCAATTCCCACATTAGCTAACGCTACCAAAGGTCCCACCTTCTCAACCTGAGGTGTGGTGACCCTGCAGTTAAACTCACCACCATAGAGTCATAGAGAATGGAAACATAGTCTTCAGTCCAACTCATCCACATTGAGCAGACATCCCAATCTGACCTAGTCCCATTTGCTAGCATTTGGCCCATATCCCTCTAAACCCTTCCTAATCATATACCCATCCAAATGCCTTTTAAATGTTGTAATTATACCCACCTCCACCACTTCATCCGGCAGCTCATTCCATACACATGCCACTCTCTGCTTGAAAAAGTTACCCATTCAGTGTTTTTCAAGTCTTTCCCCTCAACCAGTCATCCCTCTCTAATGACAGTCCTTATGGTCCTCTGGGACTAGAGTTTTATTTTTTTTAAATATTGTGTGAAGTGAACACATGGTAAGTAGGATTCCACATTTATACCAATGTCTGCAGTGAACAGTGCGGGTTATATAAAATATAAAGCTCAGAAACTGGACTCTCAGCCCATCTATTCTGATTGATTTCCACCTATGTCTATAGATCAGCTAGAGGATCATTAAACTGGATCAGTAGAGGTGAAATGACATACCTTTACTCACATTGTACTGCCTTATAAAAAGGTCTTTCATTCTCAAGTGTGGGATTGGCAGGCTAGGCTATCATTTATTGCACATCCTTAATTACTCTGTTCGGGTGGCAATTTTAGTGAGCTGCTAAGAATCAGCTAAGATACATGTAGACCGTACCGGGTAAAGACATTAAACTTCCTTCTCTAAAGATCTTAATAGGCCATGTCTGTTTTTAAAACAGCACAGCACTCACCCCTGGTTCTGGCTTAATGCAGGGCAACGTGCTGAGCTCTCCATCTTTGTCCAGCATAACAAAGGTCAGAAAGGCGCTATTGATGTGTGTTTTCCGTTCCCAGTCTTCCTGATGATAGGCTTCTGCACAGACACCAACTTCAAAGCTGAAAAAGACCAGTGATTTAGAAAGTATCCTTAGTAAAGAGGATCTTTACTGACTTTATTATAATTTAAAATTTAAAAACACACATGCTCACAGTTACGTATAATGATGACCACTCAATATTATGCCAGGCAGCAAAGTGGGATTATGCTTCAAATCCTCCTAATGGTTCAATGTTTACTTCAGTTGGAAGTTTAAATTCTCAAATCTTCTAATTTAATAACAAATCACTAGAGTTGACTCTTCTTCACCTCCTCCATAAATGTTTAGCCTTGTTACTTGAACACAGTTTGTTACAGAAGCAATACCATTATTCTCTTCATGACTCGAACAGCCGCTGCAACATTTTCATTTCCATTGTCCACCTCTTAAGGCATTAATGTTATAATGCAATTCCAACAATCTCTGTACATCACACAAGTTGTTCTTCAAAAGCCAATTCAGATCAAGTATTAACAGATAGCAATGACTTAATCTTTGGTATTAATACCTTTGCTAGCCACTGTAACTTCCCCATCTAATACCCTGGCTGTCATCAGCTACTGCAGTGCAAACCAAACCTCAAGCCAGAACCTTCATAGTCTGGATATTGACAATTAACCACTGAACCAATAAGAAGGCTAGATTTCTTTTAAGCAATAATGTTTTCCGTAAATGATTAGTGAGCTTAAAGCATAACACTTTTAATGTGATAAAACATTTGCTGATTAAGCCAAAGACACTTTTTATCCATCTTTCCACATAATATTACACCATGCAATTAAACTTTATAATGTGTACAGCCCTTGTTAAGTATGACTCTGTAAAGAATACAAGATAAGTTCACATAAAGCTGTGTTGTGCTACATTTTATCAGCTCTGTCCTTGAACAGAGGTTTTTTTGGCCACTTTCCTGGTAATTTTTTCTATTTTGGAAGCAACGGAGAGACTGGATCGAAAGTAGGTTTTATCACCCAGGAAAACTGAAACAAACTTCATTAAATTTTGCAGCAAAAAACATTCTCTGGCCATCAGTATTCAGGGGCTTCTTTGCACTTAAACCAATCATGCCATCCAGTTTCCTCTTATTAGAATATACTGCAAGCATAGCCATTGAGAGCAGCCCAGGCAGTACGTTGATAATGTCCCGTCTCTTTATCAACACAAAGCTAAGTTACACAAATTCCATTTATATTGCTCCTTTATCGTAGTAAGAGACACCAAGGCACTTCACAGAAGTGAAAATAAATGTTTCACACGTACACTGCAAATGTCCAACTCGACCTCATTACCAGCTCTGTCAACCCCTCCATTCTTCAATTCTCCAAATTTCCAATTTGTCACAAGAGTGGTTCAATATTCTGTACTGGACAAGCAGCAACTTTCTCCAGCTAAATAAATATCAGGAAGAACCAATGATATTATCTTCGGTCCCCAACACAAAACCTGCTTCCTAGCTATGGGCTCCATTCCTCAACTTGACAATAATCTGAGACTGAATCATACCATCTGCAACTGTGGTGTCATACACCACACCAAGGTGGCCTTCTGATCAGTCACACCATCAGGCTCACCCATTTCCATCTCTACAACACTGGCTGATTTCACCTTGTTTTAGCTCATCTGCAAAGAAACTCTTTTGCTGTCTCCAGTCTTGACTAGTCCAATGCTCGTTGGGCTAGTCTCTCACATGCCACTCTCTGTAAATTTGAACTGATCGAAAGTCTTGATGTCTGTTTACTAATTCATACCTAGTTCTATTCAACCCTAACTGGTGTGCTCTCTGATCTTCACAGGGTATTGGTGCCGCAATGCCCCGATTTTAAAATTCTCATCCTCATTTCCAAATGCCTTCACAGTCCCACCCATTCTTATCTCCTTAACTTCTCTCTGTCTTCATATACTAGATTCCCCTTACACTAATCTTTACTATTCACTTCAACTACTTCTAGTTTTAGCAAGTTCCACATTCTAATCACTCTTTCAGTAATACAAGTTTCTTCTATCATATATTTACGGCCCCTAGTCCTGTCAGTTGTATGTAATTGCAGCATTGTGGTTGTATTCAGGTAGTGGGCATTAACTGAGGATTCAATTGTGCTCCTAAATATTGAAGCAGATTGGAACTGTAACCTTTAGGATTGGAGGTGCATATTTAATAAGGCTACCTCTGCAAGTAAAAGCTTATAAAGTGTGTCAAGACCAGGATCCAGTTCTGAACTTCACCGCCTGGCTATCTGAAATGGAACAATTCTAGTAACTCCTGCAAGTTGAAGTATCTTCCCCTTCTCCACTCTATCAAAGCCTTAGGACCACATCTGGAGTAGCATGCACAAAACTGGTCACCTTATTTAAAGAAGGATGTAAACGCGTTGTAGCCAGTTCAGAGAAGGTTTACCAGGCTGATATCTGAAATAGGCCTGCTGTCTTATGGGGAAAGGTTGGACAGGCTAGGCGAAGGTGATTTTATTCAAACATGCAAGATCCTGAGGAAACTTGACAGGATTAATGTGGAAAGGATGTTTCCTCATGTGACAGAATCTAGAACTGAGGATCACGGTTTAAAAATAAGGGGTCAAGAATTTAAGACAGAGTTAAGGAGATTTTCTTTCCTGAGTGTCATGAGTCTTTGGAAATCTCTTTCTCTAACAGTGACGGAAGCAGTCCTCAAACATTTTTAAGGCAAATACTCTTGATAAGCAAGGGGATGAACCATTACCAGGTGTGGGTGGGAGTGTGGAGTAATCATACAGCCATAATCTTATTGAATTGTGGAGCAGGCTTGAGCTATTGAGTGGCCCACTGCTGCAAACTAATTTGTATGTTCATGTGTTCAGTCCCTTTGTCCAAGTCATTCATATAAATTGTAAAGAAAAAGTTGACGAACCAGAACAGATCCCTGTGACATGACTTGTCACATCTTACCAATGAGAAAATGACCCATTTATGCCTCCTCTCTGTTTTCTGTTAGCTAGCCAATCTCAAGTCCATGCCGATAAGTTACCCATTTATCCATGAGCTTTTATTTTCCACAATAACCTTTTGTGTAGCACCTATCATCAAATGTCTTCTGCAAATGGAATGCCACCATTTAAGAAAGGAAGAATAGGGAGCGTGCAGAATTACAGATCTCTTAGTTTGACATCAGTTTTAGCAAAAATGTTAGAATCTATAATCAAAATTTTAATACTGGACGTTTGGAAAAGGTCAGTAAAATTGGGCACAATTAACATGGATTTGAGAACTGGAAGTCACGTTTGACAAGCATGTTGGAGTTTTCTGAGGATATTACTCTGCGCATCGATGAAGGACAACCAGTGAATGTGGCGCATTTGAATTTTTGGAAGGCTTGTGATAAGGTCTCACCTAGGAAGCTAACAATGAAATGAAATTGCATGCAACTCAGGTAATTTACTAGTATGAATTGAGAATTGGTTAACAGAGACAGGCAAAAAATAGGAATAAACAAAATCATTCTCAGGATGGCAGGCTGTTACTATTGCAGGCCCACAGTGCTTGGTCCTCAGCTGTTCACAATCTAAAGTGCTGGACAATGAAGAGCTTCCCTGTGAGACTACAGACAGAATCCACTCTGAACTTGTATCTATGAACAGATCAATTCTAAAATGCACACAGTTCACACTTGTTTCACAACAGGTGCCTGAGGAAGCCAAGATAACAAGTTATGGTCTCACCTTGTTTTAAATGCGTTGTTAACTATTGCCTTTAAATTTATGCGATCCCCAACCTGTGAGGGTCCTCTGAAGTGGAACATGTCAATGGTCTTCAGCACTGGATGCCCTTTGCAAAAGCGGCTACAGCGAGAGTAAAGTTGAAATAAAAACTAAACCAGGGTTTAATTTAATGGGTAAAAATGGACTGTAAGATCAATAAAATATATGGAATGTAATAACTCTGCTATATACACACACATCTCTTTCAAAAAGATCCAGCCAAACAGTACTAAAATTTTACTTAAACAGGGGAGTATACAGTTTCCCAGAGGAATATATTAGACCAAGCAGAATTTAGTTGCCAAATCTGCCATTTTCATGTTGGGCTGTTCTCAGCTAGTACACAACATCCTACATTCATTGGTCTCAGGCAGCTCGCTATGAACTCCAGGTTAAATCTCTGTCCCTTTGCAAACCTCTCCAAAATAGTGCACAAAATTCCAAGCAAATTCATCAACTTAATAGTTAGTTGGTTTGACTTAGTATAGGAACACATGGCTTAGTTAAATTTAAAACTACAAAATCAAAAAGTTGTGGTTAGTTCTCACTAGACAAGCAGATACAAGAAATTCATTTTAATCAGCATTTTCCACAGTATCAGAGAAAACTCCAGGCAAGGTAAGATTGCAGGTTTGAATCCTGGGTGTGTGGAGTTAGCGGATCCCAGGCAGTACAGCAAATGACGTTCTTATCACATATTAACACCGGGGCGGCACGGCGGCTCAGTGGTCAGCACTACAGCCTCACAGCACCGCAGCTTCACAGCACCAGGGACCCGGGTTCGATTCCAGCCTCGGGCAACTATCTGTGCGGAGTCTGCACATTCTCCCCATGTCTGTGTGGGTTTCCTCCGGGTGCTCCAGTTTCCTCCCACAGTCCAAAGATGTGCAGGCTAGGTGGATTCGTCATGCTAAATTGCCCATAGTGTTCAGGGGTGTGTGGGTTATAGGGGGATGGGTCTGGGTGGGATGCTCCAAGGGTCGGTGTGGACTTGTTGGGCCGAAGGGCCTGTTTCCACACTGTAGGGATTCTATGATTCTATGAACATCACGGAGTTTGGCAGATAGAAGAAACAATTTGTTATAACCTCCATGGAGATGTTTAAATTTTTAAAAGAGCAATTTAGACTACTTGTTATTAGCTGAAAGAATTACACAAGAAGATTTCACCGTGACAGTTGCTCCCAGCTTCCAATCAATTACTTCTGAGTGAGGGAACTCCTAATCCCAGAACTGCCTTTCACATCAGGGCAATGTTGCAGGTTTCTTTCCTCTATCTCAAAATTAGA